CATGGGTGTTTGGTGTCTCATCATGCATATCTCTCAGTTTCGCTAAAGATATAACAGTAAACTGAAACTTTTTTTTTTTTTTTTTTTTTTTTTTTTTTTTTTGGTAAATGTAATTTCAGGTAGTAGCTTTTGTCTTGGAGGCTTTCTTGCTGAAATGGATCTTGAGACATCAGAAAAATGTGAAGGAGATGAGAAGGTAAGTATCTTTGGGTTGTTATTCATATGAGCCCTGTTTTTGTCTTCATTTATGCCGTTGGGACTCCTTGTCAAACATATGTCAAATGTACATTTTCAAATTATAACCCATAAATTCCCTGGTGTCGGATTAAAACTATTCATGCATTAAATAGTTGATGTGACAGCTAGCTAATTTTGAATTGACTTTTATGGTCTCTATAAAGAGCCAGCACAAGTAGTTTTCTACATGATCTGGTTTTTTGTACTGAGTTTGGCCTTAATGATTTCTGTGCATTATAAGGGTTTGACCTCATGCCAACCCTGAAATTTAGGATGAAAAAATTCTTGCTGGGTTGGAAGCTTGGAATCAACCCTGAAGTTTTTCATTTTTCCTGCTTTTATGGGGTCATATATAATAGACCTGTGGTGATTATCAATTCAGTGCTACTAAATGAGTTTAAATATGTCTTACTTTATTTAGGAAGTGGAAGGAGCAAAAGATCGACATCGATCTTTGGGGTACGTATTTCTAAAAAATTGTGGCAATGTCATGTTGTTACCTAAGCCTATTCTTAAAAGTGTTACAGATAGTCTAAACTCAAATCTTGCATTTTGTGCAGCTCCAAATCTCGAAGCCAGAGAATTGATGTTCTTCTCCACCATATGTTGAGTGCAGAGCTAACTGAGACACAGCCCTCTAATGCATAGCTTCCTATATTTCCATTGTGGTAACGAATTCCTTTTTATCTCAAGTTGACTGTTAAAATATTTAATTCTTTCAAAAATTTATCTTGTAGCATCTGATCTTGAATATGAATGCACCGTATTGTGGATTAATGAGTTATATTTTTCAAATGGGTGCTTCTACTCATACACCACTAAAAACTTTATTGAATGTCAAATTTGTCCTTTTTGTGAAAGAACAAACTATTGACAAAGGCTATTTGAAAAGTCATTTTCATTCGCTGTTCATATCCCCCATCAAAATTGGTGACACGCACACTCAATTTCTTCACCCTAAAACCCTCAAGAAAACCCTAAGCCACGCTTTAACTCACAGGCTCACAGAGGGATGCAAGTAAGTTATTTTCGATGAATGGATGCTCAAACTGATTTCATTAGTCTTCATACCGATAAGGTGAGTGAGAAAAACATTATAATTGACAACTTAGGCTAAGCCTCAATTTTTCCTGATCTTAACCTGATCCAAATTAAGACCAAAAAGCCTGTCAAGCTCAAGATATGTTGAACGAGCTGGTGGTCTAGGCCTCCACCCGGGCATAGGGTCCTGGATTGACTGCTGGTTAAGTTGGAGCTCTGACAATAGAAATCATGGGTAACTAAGAATATCCTGATAATTAAGGCAATCAAAGATATAGCTTCAAATTGTGGGTGCCAGGAGTATTTCATTTTAAGATTCCATGTTGTTTAATAGGACTTGTACAACATTTGACTTCCGGTATCTTAATGCCTTGGCTGAGTGGTGTCAGACTGCGATTAACTTTGATTGTGCTTCTCTCCTTAATTTTTGGGCATTGTCGATACAGTTTTCAGATAAATGAGCATAGCATTGACATAGAGTAAGTTTTGTTTTAGGCATTCCATCAATTAGCTAGGTTGGTCATTTCGACTTATATTTTATGTGATTCTTGGCAGATTGTGTTTATGGAACTATAGAAACAGTGAAGGAAATATCAACTCAAGAAGGCTACCTGTCTTTGTCCTCAGATTCTCTTGCTGGTCTCAGAATGAAATCTTTTTGGAAGTGAGACCTTGCTGGAGACAAATACATCGTTGTTGTGCAATGGACTATGTTGCTACATTTAGGTTCGATCAACGAGTGCTTTTACCATGATCCTGTTTGCGGTAATTTTTGTTTTCACATTTTTGCTACTGATACACAGATTGTTCATCAAATTTGTAAATTTGTTGTAATGTTAATTGATTGTACAAGTAAAACCACTAAAAGGTATATGGCGTTATGAGTGGCATCTCCTGTAAATACTTTATATATTTTCAATACATACATATATATTTTCAATCTTTATTTAATATTTTAAAGTCAATTAAATGAACAGTTTTTCCAGAACCTCCTTTGAATTTAGGGATTCTCACATTTGTTTGGAATTTGATTTGGCAATTCCAGCTTATTTATTCCTGGCGTTTTGGGGTCTCTAGTAAGAGGGTGGCTGCAGAAAGCCAACTAATTCATTCCCAAAGGTTATAATGCAGTTAAAAAGTTCAAATTCTAGCTTTTGGGGTGAAATTTTTTGGACCGTTGGATGGAGAAAGAGAGACTGCAATCTGACTGTTCTTTTTGTTCAAATATAAAAGCTTTCATTGAATTGGAGACCAAGCCTTTTAGTAAAAGCGAAGACTAGTGTGAGCAACTATAAACAAAATAAATTATAGGACAATTGAAATCTGAGTGGAAGCTTCACCTGCAAAATTAGTTTGAGAGAGTATATATATATATTTTTTGAATTTTGATAAACTTGAGAGATGGATTTCATGAATCATGGATCATTGCATGCAAGAGGTTGCAGCTTTAGGTGATGTTGGTATATGAAGTAGTGTGTACGCAGAGGGTGGGGGAGAGGGTTGGAGGAGTGGTGGAAATCCAGGGATAACAATTAAGGTTATGTTTTTTTTTTTTTTTTTTTTTTTTTTTTTTTTTTATTGGTTAATGTTTTTTTTTTTTTTATTTTAATTTTAAGTTATAGTGAATTGACTGAAATGCCCTTAAATTTAAAGGAAAGGTTAACATAGTTAGACGTAGGTGATATACTGCAACACTATAAAGTTCAAGTGGTTTATAATAAAAATTAAAAGTTCAAGTGGTTTATAATAAAAATTAAAAGTTCAAGTGGTACTTGCACTCACCTAAGAAGTCAAGTGGTATTTATGCAAATTTCCCTAATATTTGTCATAAAGAGACATCAATCTATAAATTAGTGATGGTGGCCATGGTGGTGACATCATATGCGGTATTGGTAGTTGTGCTACTAGTGGTGATGTGGTGGTGGTGATGGCTATGACAAGGTCACGGTGGTAGTGGTGATGGTATGAAATAAACTCTCATTCTTTTGGAATTTTAGAAATGATAACTAATTGAAGTTTCAATTTATGACCTTTAGGTAGGTGTTTTTTTTCCATATTGAATTCTAAATTTCTTTGTTCATGAGTGAATTGGTGTATGCCAATCTAAACATAGGGTTATTCTTCAAGTGCCAAAAGTTATTCAGGAGAAAATTCTTGATAATATGATAACCAAAAATATTGTAGAAATAAATATGGGCAATGATTTCCCCACTCCTATTTTATCCACTTACACTCCTTTTTTAGTTATAAAAAAGGAGTGTAAGTGGATAAAATAGGAGAAAAAGGAGTGGGAAAATCACCACTCATAAATATTACACTTTGGCACATAGATGGTTTTGAGATTTTGGGGCCTTGTGCAGATTCAAAAATGAGGCCTTCTAAAACATTTTTTCTCACCTCAAATCATTAATTGAGGTGATTCAGAGAAAAAAAAAGTTTTGGAAGGCAGCTCAAACCTTAGTGTGGGAGCATATTTTTGCTTCATTAGTAAATTAGGGAATCCTTGTTTATTTACCGTCTCCAAGGCATAGGACACCAATTGGACATAAATATATGAAGATATGGAGAAATTGGCATCTACTTTTGAATTCCACCTACACAACTTAATTTATGTTTTCTTGATTTATAGGTATTGGGCATGGGAGAATATATAGGAATTCCTTGCGGTTATATTTATTGGAAGTTTGAATGAAATTTAAGGACATTTGTCTCACATTGGTAGAAAGAAGAAAGAGTGAGATCTTTATAAGTGTGTGTGGAAGTTCCACACTTGGTAAATGAAAGTTGGGCCAAGTGAAAACCAATTGAGCTTCAAAATCAATTTGGGCATTGAATATTACATAAATAATATAATATTTAATTGTCAAAATCGATTTAAATTAATTTTTTATTTTCGAATTAATAATTTTTTATTCATTTGGATTAGTTTAATTAACTATCTCATTTGTTAACACATAAAAAAGCATTCTACAAGCACATTTCATCTTGTCTGAGAGGAAAATAAACAAAGTTCGCCAGATTCTAAGTCCTAGTGCCAGGGCTCAGAATACAGATAGTTGAATTTTGGGAGGCAGTCACCTGTAGAACTTCAAGCACCGAGAAGGGGTGAAATTACTGTCTTTAGGATATTACATCAAATCTGCAAGCTTCTATCTCGAATCCAAGTCAATTTCATTATTATTTGTTTACTATATTCTGAATTACAATTTGTTATAAATACAATTTCGTTGATTTATATATATATATATATTGTCAATATATATTTTTTATTTTATTTAAAAAAAAAACTCTCTCGACGACATTTCATCGGCACAGGTGTATACTGGCAAATATTGCCGTTTAGACCTCTCCCGACGAAAGTTATCTATATCAACGCAATGTCGTCGACATAGGTCTAATCTGGCAAAATTTCACAGGGAGTAGACATGTGCCGACGAAATTTAGTCGGAAGATGTTTTTTTTAAATAGTCACTGATTGTTGTTTTTCCAACAATATTAAGTACATGAATGGAGAGATTGGCATCTACGTTTGATGGCTGAATTCGGAGGATTAATTCCCCTAAGGTCGTTGAATTATAGGCATCGACTTCCTAGACCTTCTCATCATTGAAATACACTTCTGTTTGTGGTTAAGGTGGATGTGTTTGTGTGTATATATACACGTATATAAGGTGCGTTTGATAGAAAGAGACAAAGAAAGAGAGAGAGAGAGAGAGAGAGAGATGAGAAGCATGGAAGTAGAGGTAATGCTGGGCATCCCTGCAGAGAAAGCATGGGAAATTTATAGAGACTATGACATCATTAACAAAATAAACCCTGAAATGCTCATGATGCTTTACATTGAAGGAGACGGTTGTCGTGGAAGTCTCAAGCTCTTCAAACTTGGTCCAGTAACTCTCTGTCTCTGTATGTGCTTTATTCAAGTCATTACATATTAACCATAACTATATCTATTTACCCATGCATGCGGATAAGGCCAGCCTCGACAAAATAAGATCCTCTGCTTGTGTGCTTTGGTGTTTATTTCGTGCTATTGAACCAGGTCATTTTGGACTTAAGGCTCTAGCATTTGGGGTTTAATATATTTAGAGTTTATATTACGAAATAGGCTTACAATTAAAAAAAAATGTAACGGAGGACCAACACTTCTAACAAAATGGAGTTGAGGGACTCCAAAAGCCATTTTACGAATTCAAAGGCTGAAATAGGGCACAAGTTCATGAACTATTACTACAATTAGGCCGTATGAAATATATTCATGAAAGTTTAAAATGACTATGTTCATCTGTTTGGATTTAGTCTTGTGATGGTCGGGTAAAGTTCCTCATTGGTTTGAGAACCATTTGTGGTCAACAAGTCAACTTTCTTTGGTGTGCGAGCGTGTCACTGTTAGTAGTTAAAAAACCCTAATAGAATTTATGAAAAATAGACAACTTGTGCCCTAAGTTACTGACTTTAAACAAGTGATTGTGAATTTGGGTGCGGAATATCTCTCAAGTAGGTTCTTTTCTTAGCTCAGACTGGTGAGAACTTCACAATTTCTCACAATAAACTGGTAGTTCTGACAAAAAATGAATGAATCAGGCTGTTTTAAGGAAAACTATCTATTACGTAACTTTAAAACAAAAGAGAACTGCCATGTCTGAAAGGACAACATAACATTGGGCTTCGATTTCTGCTTAGATTGTTGCCTGTGACTTAGGATGGACTAGATGTATTTATACTGGATTCAAACATCGGCCCCTTCAACTGAAAAGTTTCAGTTGGAAATCGATACCAATGTTAAGATTGGCAGAGGTTTAATCTATTCTAGCCATGGGAAGGTTTGTTGGATGGGCAGAATTGTGATTTTTTCAGTCTGGACAGGGCTGGAAGTGGCTGGATTGACAATTGCTAACCTGGAGATGCACTACAGTACCTGTTTTTCTAGATTATGAATCATCCAAAAGCTAGTCTGGCAATTCTGAGAGACCAAGGCGTCTCTGTAAAGTTGTTGATGTTTTCATATTATGAAAATTTCACTCCAATCAACAATTTAATTTGGCTAGGTTTTACAAGATCAGTTTCTCATGCTTTAGCTTGCCAACCCAACCAAAAACACATCGTCGTCCAATCACAGCAAGAAAAAGCTCGTCTTAATCTTCCTTCTCTCTATCACTCTCATTCTTGCCTCTACCGTCTCCATCATTCTCCTCTAGGCGTCCACTCCAAGGCTTCCCCCAATTATAAGGCCACCAAAGCCATCTCCAATATACCTAACTTGTTTGGGTCGTGGAGGAGAGAGAGAGAGAGAGAGAGAGATATATATATATATATATAACATAAGGAGAATAGGTCGTGGGTTGGGTTTGCAGGTTGGGACTCGGGCATGGGTTACAGGTGGGGATTTGGGTGATCGATGTTTTGTCGGATTCAGCTACATCAAAATCAATTCAGCTGCATCCTTAACTTGTGATACTAGCAAGTGCACGAGCCATTCAATAGTATAGCTTATGTAAGTGCAAGGTCCGATCCCATGAGGATTGATGATAGATTGATTCAATTCGATTTCCTGTACAAAACAAAAAGAACGGAAACAAGAAAGAAAGAAAAGAAATAAATCAAGCAAATAAGTTAACAAGTTCAATTCTGATTCTCAGATTGATTCTAGCTGAAGTATGATTAAGCTATGGTGTTTGGTCCTAACCTTATATTCCTAATTCCCTAATTAGATCCTTTGTTATTGATTTGTTGCAGTAAGGATTTGTTGCAGCAACTATGTGATATGTTTTCTGTTTTTAAGAGTGTATTTGTAAGCACAAATGGTACAACGAGATTGAGCGAGTGCTAAATTATTTTGGTGATGGATTTGCACCATTCTTTTGTTGGATGACCATGTCTGATATGGGGCATATTATTGCCACAAGTTATAATGTGGTTTTATTCCTTCTAAACATGCATCAATGCCTTACATTTCTTCCCTTCTCAGTTCAATCAAGCGAAACCAAGCTACATGAGATTGCCATTGGTTTTGTTGATGATGATCACTATGTCCAGGTATGAATTTATTTGTTTACGCTACATAGTTTAATATTATATGCTATGCGTATATTAATGAATTCTTGTTTTGTAGGTTCATTTGTCTCCAGATCATCCTATTCCACCAATTTCTAGAATGTGGCATGAACAAAGTGACATACGCAATGTAACACATTTGTACTCGAGGACCAAGTGCGTGTGGATGCATTTCAACAACTTCCGAGAGTGGAGAATGTAGCTATTACAAATACGGTCATCCTATTGATTGACGAAAATGCACCCACTACATAATTGAGATTATAATCTAATAATTCTATTTATTTTCTTATATATATATATATTTTTTTTGGTGGGACAAACTTCATAAGGTCGAGATGATGAAGCCTCAGGGGTACCTCTGCAAATCCTCTTCATATCTAAAAAACAACATTAAGTACAAACTTAGTAACAAATTCGGTAGATGATCACTGAAACAATAAACGAATTCAGTAGACTACCATTGAAAAATGGAAATAAATTCGGTGGACTACCACTGAAAAATTGAAACAAATTCGATGGACTACCATTGAAAAAAGGAAATACATTTGGTGGACATCCACTGAAAAACAGAATAAATTCAGTAGACTACCACTGAAACAAGGTAACGATTTCGGTGGTAACCCACCGAAAGTAATATCTATTTTCGTAAAAACCAGGTTCAAATTCGGTGGACTTACCACTGAAACAATGCAACGATTTCGGTGGTAACCCACCAAAAGTAATATCTATTTTCATAAAAACCAGGTTCAAATTTGGTGGACTTACCACTGAAACAATGCAACGATTTCGGTGGTAACCCACCTAAAGTAACATCTACTTTCGTAAAACCAGGTTCGAACCACACATCCACAAAGTTGAAATCAAAATTGAAATCAAACCTTGGCTTTTCAACTTAAAATCAAACCTTAGCTTAATCCACACTCAAACATAAATATAGAGATCAAATTGAAATCAAACATTGGCTTTTCGGAGGATTTTGAGGTCATATGGGTTTGTGATGGGGGTGAGATCACCTAGCTGCGATGGGTTGAGGCAATTGGAGTTGGGGTGTGTGATTTGTTGCAAATCGAATGGGGTGTGCGATGGGGTTTGTCTGCAAAAGGAGTGAGTTTTCGATGGGGTGGGGTTTGATGTGAGATGAGATTTACACAAGTAAGTTAAGGAATGAGGTTCTGAGGGTAATTTAAGAAGAAAAATGAGGTGTATTGAGTAATTTTAAATTTTATTAAAATTTAGTGAGGTGTAAAGAAATGTGAGGTGCAAAGAACAATATTGAGGTGCGAATAAAATGCACAGGCCTGTGCCAAGGGCCAGTGAAAATAAAAGAAAAAGATAAAGAAGATTTACCGTAGAAACAGAAACATTGCATGCACCGAGATCTCCGAAAGAAAATTCCCTTTGCTTTGAAAAACCGTTTGGCAAAATCCTATGTCTCTACACAGCTTCAAAGAAGCCCTTAAACCCTGCAGAAACTCATCATCCTTAACCTCCTCAACAATCCAATCACAGTCCTCACTCACCCAAACCTTAGAAGACCCCACCTAAATTAGACCAATTGAATTCTGTCTGTTATAATTATTTAATAATAAATAAAAAAAGTACTTCTGAATCGATCTCACCCTTTCTTTACTTTAATAATTTCAATAAGAATTTTAATTCTTCTTTGTTGAGTAATAACTTAATTCTTCAATAAAATACTTATTGTAGAAATATCAATAACCCGATCCCTAGAAAGCCCCCGAAATCCTCTTTGTCTCAGCAGCTTCTGAGACTCCAAGATCCTCTGTCTCTGCCCCCAATTCAACCACAGAGCCAACCCAAACAAACCCACGACCAGAATGGCATGGAGGATGAGAATGACGAAAAGACTACGACCCAGAATCACTGGATTATGAGAAGCCTAAAGTGGGTTTGTTTGAGTTTGATCGCATAGGACCATATGAACCGTTGGTTTTGTCCTCAGAGGGAGAATTTCCTGTTATACAGGTATTTTACATGCTTATAAATTTTCTTTGAACTTTAACGACACATTTGCATGTGTATGTGTCGCCTAATTTCGTACTGGCGGGATATAGTTGATGTATCTCTAGTTTTTCTTTGTATTAATGGTATCAGAAGATTATTATTCTTTAGCTTGCACAATGTAAGCGTTCGGTATAAGGAACGTAAAGGGAAAAAAATGTATTAGAGAGAGAGAGTTTCGACCCGTGTTTGAAATTTAAAAGCAAATGTGATAGTAAAAATTAATTAGGTGCATTATTGGAGGTGGGAATAGTAAAGGATTGTTGTTCTTATATTGTGTATGTGAAAGAGCATTTTGGTTAATTAGTAATTTGTACAAATCTAACATCAGCTTTTAATCCAAGATTGATTATTATTTGACCCTTTCCTTCTTTCTTAGTTCCAAAATTGTGTGACAGACAGAGCAGCATGGTCATTATGTAACATTACCAGCTTGAAGGTGTTTGGTTTGAAGTGAATGAGATCGAAAGGAAAATAGTAATGAAGAGTGATGGAATACATCAGAAAGGATTACGATTTTCCTTAATGATTTGTCATTTTATGGTCTGTTAACTGATTTAGGTCACTTTGTTGAGACAGTAATTGGATGACACTACTGTATACTTGTATCTTTGTCATCTATTAGGGATCTGTAAGAAAGCATGAATGAATGATTTTCATCTTTTTGGCACGGTGAAGTGCCATTGATGTAGCTTTGGGTCTTTACAAGAGGTTGGGATAGTTGCTGAAATCATATTTTATGAAAGGGTTTGCATGAAGGAGATATGAAATTGTTGGAATTGTTTTATAGGTGTTGTTATCACTTCTTTTATGGTTGCAGGTTCCGGCATCCATTAACTGCAGATTGCTTGAACATCAGAGAGAGGGAGTGAAGTTTCTATATAATCTGTACAAGAACAACCATGGAGGTATTCTTGGTGATGACATGTAAGTTTATCCTCAACTTTATCTAATATAGTTCTTAAAGTTTTGACTTTCTTCGTATTACTTTTTGTTGTGTCCTCTGGACTCTTTTTTCCTTTCCTTTTCTTTGTCATTTGATTCAATTGCTTTGGAATTTAATTCTGAGAATTTTCCCCTTCCATTCAATGCTATGATTGATTTAGTGGAAATGGAATGATTGGTTTCAGAGACATGTCTCCAACAGAGTTTACTATGCATTGTTCAAACTGTACATAAGCACCTGATCTATCAGACTCTGAACCAAAGATACATGTTTGTACTCAACTTAAGAATGCACTAACTTGGACAGGAGTGCTAGGGCAAAATTTGGTTGTGGAATTTTTTCTTTTAAATGAACTGGATGAATTCATGATTGTTTCTAGGAATAACCTTGAGAAGCTGATCATTTGCAATGAGGAACTCTTATAGTATTTGTTTGTAGCATTGGCACTCAGGATTTAATTTGCAAGGAAGGTAGCTGCCACTCTCCTAGAAAATATCTTCTGACAGCAAGAAAGAAAAGGAGGCAAAGTTAATCTTCCATCTTCTTGAAGTAGAAAATTTGACAGTTTTTCTAGTGCATATATAATGTGAACGTTCTAAGAGTCAAGTAATGGTGGGACCTCCTTCTGGGAACTCCGATTAACTTATCATGAGGATGGTTTTTACCCTTATACAATGTGAACGTTTCCTTATGTTTTTCGGTTGTTATATTGTAAACTGCTTTTTACAATGATTCCTTTTCTTTCTTCTGTTATTTATAAATGCTTATTGTAAAGGATGTTTTGTTTGTCTTACCTTGCTAGACAGTCTACGTATCATGTTGTCAGCCTGTCAATTTGGACCATGTTGAACAGATTGACAGTCTGACAAGAGAGCATTACCTACACACATACACACACTCACACTTTGAAGTTCCTAGTGGGTAAGTTCTTTATATTTCTTGCACGTCGAACAGGGGACTAGGAAAAACCATCCAAACTATTGCATTCTTGGCTGCTGTGTTTGGGAACGATGGGGATTGTATGGACTCCACATTACTGAAGAAGAATCAGACAGCAGAAAGAGGCCCTGTTCTCATAGTTTGCCCTTCTTCAGTTATCCACAATTGGGAGAGTGAATTCTCTAAGTGGGCTAACTTTAGTGTTGCTGTTTACCATGGGCAAATCGTGATTTGGTTTATGATAAGTTAGAAGCGCATGAAGTTGAGATCCTTATCACAAGCTTTGACACATACAGGATTTGTGGCAGCCAGTTGTCAGAGGTCAATTGGGAGATTGTGATTGTTGATGAGGCACATCGGCTTAAGAATGAAAAATCAAAGCTCTATATCGCATGTTTAGAATTTAAAACCTTAAAACGTATTGGCCTCACTGGAACTGTAATGCAGAACAAAATCATGGAACTTTTAATCTCTTTGATTGGGTTGCACCTGGATCCTTGGGAACACGGGAACATTTTCGAGAGTTTTACGATGAACCCCTCAAGCATGGCCAAAGGTCAACTGCTCCAGAAAGATTGTTCGTGTTGCTGATGAGCGAAAACAACACCTAGTGGCACTTCTTCATAAATATATGTTAAGAAGGACAAAGAGGAAACCATTGGGCATCTTATGATGGGGAAGGAAGATAATGTCATATTCTGTGCTATGAGCGAATTGCAAAAACGGGTGTATAGAAGAATGCTACAGCTACCAGACATTCAATGCCTAATAAATAAGGACCTCCCATGTAGTTGTGGCAGCCCTCTTACCCAAGCTGAATGCTGCAAAGGACTGTCCCGGATGGGAAAATTTGGCCATATCTTCACAAGGAGAACCCTGATGGATGTGATTCATGCCCCTTTTGCATTGTCCTTCCTTGCCTTATCAAGCTCCAACAGGTAAGTTATATTTCAAGTTTTTATAACTTTTAGCACTGCAATCCTTTTGCTAAATTAGGAATGAATTTTCTTTCTTTTGTAGAAGCGCTTTTTCCTTCGTAAGTTTGTAACTGTGACGTTATAGTTTCTTTGAGGGAAGAGTTGGAAGAAAGCTATTCGTCTTTCCATTGGGTATAGCATGAATTTAAGGTGGTGTAGAGGCAGGTCTTACATGGTTATTTTAGTCTCCAATCATCAAATATTCTTAATATGAGATTGAAAAATATGAATCAGAAAACAAAATTACCTAGAAGAAAGGCATCATATGTCTTTAAAATCAAACAAACGTCAAATTCATTATAGTAGAACACCATCTTGGATTGTATTAATAGTAGAACACCATCTTGGCATTGTATTTTGGATTGTTATGGTGTTTGATTGCTTGATATTGAATGAAATCAAACTTTGTTTTAATAGTAGAACACCATCTTCTATAATTTGTTTTATATTTTTTAGCGTTCTTTGTTATTATCTGTTTTAACTCATTGAATCCTGTGTGTCTACCATGTATAAGAGGCACATATTCCTTATGCATAAGAAGACATGAGGTATGTTCCTCTTGAATTCCTGGTACCTTGAGACGTCTAGAGCAGCCATGTACTTAAAGAATCCAGAACCTTCAAAAGCAGTGCTTACATGGAATATATTAGAACTCAGTCTAGAGAGAGAGAGAGAGAGAGAGAGATGAATTTTTGTATTTTACATTGCTTTTCATAATTTTACTGGATTGGTATTTATTTGTATTTATATTTTGAAGATACTTTACAGATAAGTAATCACTTGGAGCTGATTAAGCCTAATCCGAAGGATGACCCAGATAAGCAAAAGAAAGATGCAGAGTTTGCCTCCGCTGTGTTTGGCACAGATATTAATCTGGTAGGAGGGAACACCCAGAATGAGAGTTTTATGGGCCTGAGTGATGTTAAACATTGTGGCAAAATGCGAGCACTTGAAAAGTTCTTGTTCTCATGGATTTCATGCGGTGACAAAGTTCTGTTGTTCAGCTACTCTGTCAGGTGATGCACTGTAGTTCTCTTTTCTTCTTTGTCTTCTGTCAGGGTTACAAACTGTAATTAATTTATTCAAAATGTTCTGTTGAACAGATTTTCATTTGTGGAGGTTTTGACTAAGCACAAAATAATTTGAGCTCTTAACTGTAGATTATATAACATAAGCTTTATCACTGATTCTGGAAACAAATGAATACATGAAGACATTTTGTGTAATACAGTCAAGATGGTCTCGGACTGAATATTTTCTGTGTCAATGAATTGTCTGTGCATATGTTTTCTTCTTTAGGTTCTCTTAGGATCTTTTTTTCTCCTGAACTAGAATTTCTTCTTGCAGGATGCTGGACATACTGGAAAAATTTCTTATACGTAAAGGCTATTGCTTCTCAAGACTTGATGGTTCTACACCAACCAACTTGCGCCAGTCTATTGTTGATGACTTTAACTCAAGTCCAAGCAAACAGGTATGTTTTAAATCAAATATGACAACAGAAGTTCGTGCTTAAATTCTCTTTGACAGTGGTTTGTTGCCGTAGGTCTTCCTTATATCAACTCGAGCTGGTGGGCTTGGATTGAATCTTGTCAGCGCAAATCGTGTGGTGATATTGATCCAAGTTGGAATCCTGCCCAAGATTTACAGGCCCAGGACAGGTCATTTCGTTTCGGGCAGAAGCGGCATGTTGTGGTTTTCCGCTTTCTTTCTGCTGGCTCCCTTGATGAACTTGTTTATTCACGTCAGGTGTACAAACAGCAGCTATCCAACATTGCTGTTTCTGGAAAAATGGAAAAGAGATATTTTGAAGGTGTTCAGGTAGATAAACTGATCTTTTTTTGCTTTTCATTTGTTCTGGAACTTTGCTATTGACATTCAACTACAAGATATTTGTACTTCACTTAATTGGGTTATTTCAGGATTGCAAAGAATTTCAAGGGGAGCTTTTCGGAATTTGCAATTTATTTCGTGACCTTTCAGATAAGGTCTTTACCAGCGAAATATTTGAGTTGCATGAGAAGGATGGACAAATAGAAGGGTATGGTATAAGACAACAATCAACCGATGTTGGAAGCAATAGTGTTTCATTAAAAGAAGTTGGTGTTACATCCTTATCGTTATCTGAGACCAGAACAACCAGTAATTCTAAGAAGGGTTTAACAAGTCAACCTGTGCTCAAGGATGTGGGTAAGTTTGATTTCTGAATTAGAGTTATGGTCTTCTGTTACTCTTTCTTTGCATTTTTCATCATTGTGCTTTCTTATCTTTTTCTTCTTAGAATTGTTGGATTGGCATAGTTATATTTATGTACAACTTCCTTGTGCTCATTGTGGACTTCAAATTCTGTAATTTTGAAGGAAAAAGAGAGTAAATTTGTAGTCATTATATAACCCTGTTTTTTAAGTCCAAGGCATGACAGTTTTGGGCAATCATTTCATGCTCAGCAGCAAGGAATTTTTTTTTAGGTACAAATATGATGAAGGCATTTATAGAAGCTCCTAATTAGATTTGTGCTGTGCACAGTAAACCACTGGCTTCAAGGAGAATAGATATACTGAAAACAACCTGTGCCAGTGGTGCGACATTGAAATCAATATATGAGTCTTTAAGTTAGCGAAGATGTGCAGCCTTGTCAGCAAACATTGCCAAGAAAATAATAATAATATGTATAAAATTTGAATGTGGCCGAGTAATTGAGATTGAGTTGAACCATAAAGAATGAACAATTAAGGGTAAAACTGAATAGAGGGATAGAGACTAAAATTGGGTCATAACCAAATTGTGGGCCTGTTGAAGTAATAGGGTTAAATATTAGGTATGTAATGGTTTTTCAATTAACAGGTTTAATATTTGCTAGGATATTGGGAAGCGGAGAATGTGGTTTGCTTTAAAATATTTTATTCTTTTTAATATTTCTCTTTTGGAAGAAAACTGAAATGTCTTTGACTCCTTAGGTGTCGTGTATGCGCACCGCAATGAAGACATCCTGAATTATGGACCTGGAGGTCAAGGGGCAATTGAAATAATCCCTCAGAACAATGGTATCATGGACCCATACATTCGTGTTGCCCGGAGAAAGAGACTAGATGGTATAGTTGGAAAGGAGAATTTTCCTTCATGCAAGGATCAGAAAAGGATTCAGTATAGCCTCCTTTCTATGTTCATGGGTTTGGGAGAGCTAGAGTTCAGCAAGTGGGTAATATCTGCCACTCCTATGGAGAGGGAGACAGTGCTTCGGGACTTCAAGAAGCGAAAGGAGAAGATACATGATGGTTGAAGCATTATCTTCGAAGTTGTACAAAACTAAACAGCTGTGCTCATTGTACAAATTTGTATCTCCGTGATTTGTCAATAGAAATTGCTCTGTATCTTCAATAACTTAGTTAGACCCATTGTATATGAATCTGTGGTACCAAAAGGCTACCACTCTTGACCGATCTTTGATGTAATATTGTCGTACACTTTCCACTAATTTTAGCTGTGGCAAAGGTGTAATAGTTTAGCCTATTTTCTTTGAGTTGAGAAACATGGAAGACTAGATGGATTTCTATTTCCTTTTTATATGCTACTGCTTATACCGTGGCCACTACTGGAAAGGGACTTGAACACATTGACTGTCGGCTTAAGACTCCTTTTACTAGCCGGAGGATTTTTGTCTGTAGAGATTCGCAAATTAACCAAGTTCTCTGCATGAAAATACTTTACGTTCTATTCTTGTTTGCATACTGAAGCATTTAGATCAACAGTTGATCTCAAACTGTTAAATTCTAAATTTTTGGTATTCCTTGTTTGAATCAAGATATTCAAAACTAAACAATTGAAAGTTTTACGAATGAAGCAATATTTAGGATGAAAATGCTAAAGCGGAGGGTTCATACATGACAATAAACATGAGTATTTCAGTATATTATGATTCTAATAGAAACCCAATTGAAAAGTAAACGGCGTTAAACAATAAACTAAACAAAACTTCAATCTCATTGTGCATTGTATGAATAAAAAATTTGAGTTGAAGTTACGCTATTACCGTGGCTCCAGGGATGAATATAATGTGTAGACTTTTAATGAAGTTTTATTGGTATATACCCAATTTTAGACATAGTCTTATAAAGAAACCCTGTATCATTTAAAAACTATAAACACACCAACAACAAAAAAACCAAATAGCTATTTTTTTTAGTTTATTTGTGTGTAAAATACATATATTGCCCTTGTACTATGGATTTGAGAGAGAAAAATAAGATCTGCCAACTGTTCATTTAGATATGAATATTAAATTGCCAAAAAACCAAATCATATTCATTTTCTCCTTTCTCGCTTGTGCTTTCTTTGTATTGGAGCAAGATGAGCTTCAATTGAAGCTTAGTCTCAGATTCTTCATCTTTGATCTACAATTTTCAATATTTCACCTTCGATTTCTTGTTCTAAAATCGTGCTTTTGTTCTTCTTCTTTTTGTTGGGATTGTACGGAACCTCGATCAAATGCTCATAGCTCTACTCCTTATCTTCGAGCTCTACTCCTCTTTTGTCACGTCGTCGTCGTTTGGTTTGGACTATGTTTCTCTTTGGATTTTAGTTGATTTTCGAAATGTATTTTAAGTTTTGATAATCGATTTATCTTTTGTTACTATTTCATTTATGGATCTCATTTTGTTTAACAATGTACTTGTATGACAGAGTATTAACAAGATAGTTCTATGACAAAGTATTAATAATGTACTTCTATGATAGAGTATTAACAATGTACTTCTATGACATAATAGTATTAACAAGATAGTTCTATAACATAGTATCAACAATGTAATTCTATAACATAGTATTAACAATGTACTTCTATGAAGAGCCCTTGCTTGGTTTTTGCAAATTTTTTTTTAAATAAATTGTTTGGCTTTTTGAAAAAAATATGGGCTCAGCTTGTTTTGAGTTGGTCTGGTTTGTTCTTTCTTCATCCTTTCTTTGGTAGACATTTATTAGAAATAGCAACATGATATACATTAATCAACATGACAGTAAACTAGCAGTATTATTACTCTAGATTGGAACATTACAGGGGTAGACATGCATTAGAAAATAGGATGTCATATAAAACTAGCAGTGTTATTACCTTAGACTATAACATTACAGGAGTATACATGCACTAAAAATAGGATGTCATAAGAAACTAGTAGTGTTATTACCTTAGATTGGAACTATTCACCCGTTTTGTGTTTGCTCATGTGATGGAAGGGTAAAGTTCCCTATTGGCTTGAAAACCATTGACTGGTCAACAAGTCAACTTTCTTTAGTGTGCGAGCGTGTCACTACTAGTAATAAAATTCTAAAAAACTTCTTAAAAATAGATAACTTGCTGCCTAAGTTACTGATTTCTAAACAAGCGATTGTGAATTTGGGTGATGAATATCTCCCAAGTAAGTTCTTTTCTTGCCTCAGACTGGTGAGGACTTCACAATTTTCACAGTAGAAAACTGGTAGTTTTTGTCAGAATAAATTATTAAGATAGAGAATTATTTTTAGGCATAAGTGCCTTTTACAAAACTTAAAAGAGAAAAATCAACTTTAGAAAGACAAAAGGAAGGCTGGAATTCCATTTCTGCCTGGACAGAAGCTTCTGATCCGGGCTGGATTGGGTATGCATGTGCTGGATTTAACTGTTCCCAACTTCAACTGCTGAGCTTCAACTGTAAATCAATACCAAAGTTTGAGTTAGGCAGAGCTTTAATCTATTTCGAGTCTTGGAAGGCCTTTTGAATGGGCAAAATTGCGGCCTCTTAAATCTAAAAGGGGCAGAAGTGGCTAGACTTTCGGATTACTGAGCTGGAACTGCATTGTGATACCTGTTCTGCTTGATCATGGCTCTCCATAAATTTGTTGAGGTTTTCATACTTGTAAAATAAAAACTCAAACTCTACTTGTTTTGGTTTTTTGCTGAACCAAATTTGTAACGAGAGAAATCTTGTTTTGAATGACTTATTTCTCTTTAAGTCTGAATTGGAAGTTCTGATTTATAGCTGGCTTCTTCTAGGGCTCAAATGAGTTTTAGTTGCTTCCATTTGTTTGAAGTTTCTCAGAGATCAAGTGATCATTTTGAGTTTTGTCTTGGGTTGATTTTTTGGTTTGATTTTTTAATTGTCCTTTTGCTCTGTTTACCCTATCTTATTTTTATAAGAAATGTCTTGGAGTAGGGTTTCTAATTTTTTAATAATGGGCGGCAAAAATTCTCAAAAGATCTCTCATTCATTTTTATAATGCAAAGAAAAAGATATTTTATCAATTCTGACAAATAAGCTCTCAATAGTCAATTTTTAAAAGACAATCACTTCTCTGTTTTTGGAAAGAGAACTTAACCCCTCTTTAATTCCAACTACCCCTTGTGAAAGCTCAAATCTCGATGGTTAGTTTGATTTTTTCAGTTTGAACAACTCCCTGTTTCTTGCTTATCTTTGTTAGAAAACACAGTTTGCGTATCCCTTGAAAGATGGTGCCTTCTTTGGAGTAGAAGTAATATATCTGAATATATAAAAGGGTTTTGATCTTCTGGTGGCACAGTTTCAGAGATGTCCCCTCCTTATTGCCTGCCTTTGTCAACCTAGTTGAAATTGTTGACTTTCTAAGTTAGAAAAAATCACGTGGGTCTGTTTTCCTTTTGGGTTTCTTCGAAGCCCAAGTCTTTCTCATGGTTTGGTAGGTCCTGGGCTGGGCTTTTTGACTTGGGCTCTTGATTTCGATTTTAGTCCATATTGTCTAGGTCTGATTTTGTCTCGTCCTTCTGGGCCTCTAGTGTTGGGCTGAGTGTGTAATTTTGGCATAATTACAAGGGAACTCTGGTGGCTACCAAAATTGTCATGGGCTTTGTTTTTTTGGGCTGGGTGTGCCAAATTAGGCACAAACAGGAACACTATAACCATTAATCAACATGACAGTAAAGTAACAGTGTTATTACCCGAAACTGGAACATTACAGCCATTAATCAACATAACGTATTAATGAAGCTACGGGTTTCGAGGCATTTTGTTTGTAATGAATTGTTTGGATTTTTATTTATTTATAAAATTGGGATGGGCTTGTTTTTTGTGCTTTTTAAGTTTTTTGTGTTGGGCTTCTTTTAAGTTGATCAGTGGCAGTTACGTAATTTATAGGAATGTCAACACCAATTGCTTATGTAGTAAATGAGTTTTAGGTGTGTTTCTCTAAAATGCATTCCATGTGGGGTTTTTTTTACATAATTTCAACCTCTATTTTGGATATATTGGTAAAGCTCCCAATTTTAAATCCATGGACATGAAGCAGCTAACAAACTCACTTCTATTTGCAATGACCTCTTCACTATTCCTGCCACCCTATTCATTTTCGATTTTGGTAAGAGATCGTATTGTTGGCGAGGACAGAAGTTGGACTTTTAATTTTGATTACCAAACTTGGGCTCGAAGAAAGCTAGCTATTCCATGTTGGTGACAAACTTGGTAAATGGGCAGAAGAAGCAATTCAAATTCATAGAAATTAAGAAGCTCAGCACCTCCAAAACTAGTTATAATGGCTTCTTCCCAGCTCTTCGCCATCGTTTCCATTCTAGCAGTGAGCCATTAACAAGTGGAAATGATGTGATCAGCTTTGTTGGTGACAAACTACAAACGTGACACGAGTTGGTCTCTGCATCTTTTACTTGGATCGTAACGATATCAAGCCACTTATCTATTGAAAATAGAGGACACAATTTTATAATTAGATGTCACTTTAATTGAGAAAGATTTCATATTGTACTTTACATGAATAGACACGTGCCATAGCCATGAAATGTTACTATTTTGGACCTTGGGGCCCATTGTAACTAGGAGAACAAAATTTCATGTGGTGCTGCCAGCCTCTCTTTGGTATGCAGATCCAATTGATTTGGCACTTGAATTTTGCAGACATCTTGGTTCTTAGTAAACGGCACTAGCAGCAATTTCCTTGTCCAGAAAAAACCAAAAACTTGGAACCCAACAAGGCCGCGGCCAACTCCCCTCCTCAAGCCACCCCCACCCAAACGATAGCTCGGCCCCCCCATTAAAAATAATAATGTAATGTATGGTTTTCTTTCACAGATAAAGTAGTATGAAATAAATTAGTATCTGTACATTTGGTCAGACTTGAGTGATTTGTGTGTTTATAATCGAAAAAAGCCCTAATTTCTCTCTGGGCATTAGCGAATCCCTTCTTCCTTTAGAAGAGTCACCCGGTCATCCCTTCTTGTTTGCTTTGGGCTTATCCCATGCTTGATAGAGGGGTTTTTCACACGCACACACTACTAAGGTGTCATGGAGGTTCAAACTTGAGACTAATGGTCTGCAAGTTAAGGCCATTTTCTCACTAGGTTAGACCTTGTTGGTGAACTAGTATGGTTTATATGATTTAATATATGCTTTTATTTCTAAAAAGACTATAGAATTTGGGTGTACAAAATAAAAAAATAAAAAAAATTGATCATTAAATTTTAAACTAATAACTTTAGCTAACCCACCCGTGAAAACATTATTACATGTAAATTTATATTATTACATGTACCTAAAACATGGAAACTTCATAAAATGAGAAAATGATATTTGATAAACAAAATTATCCGTCAAGTAAACAAATCAAATCACTTTAACAATCAACAATCAGACATTACAATAAACCGTACAAAAAAAATGGCAGATATTTTTAAGAAGCAAGTTCTTATATTTATGCATTATGACGTGATACATATATCATTTGTGGAAAATCAATCAAGTGACCTTCCCATCATCATCAATCTAAAAGAACCAAAATTGGAAAATAAATACAAGTTTACCAATGAGTTGAAAGAGCAAGCTAAAAGCATGGGCGGAACTACTCCTAGGCCCTGTTTGGTTCACAGAACGAATTGAGGGAAAATTATTTCCCATGTCATTTCCTAAGGGATGAGAAATGGAAGATTCATTTCCCACGTTTGGTAATGATGGAAAAGTAACCAGGAGATATCACTTTATGTCCTTTTCCATGTTTGTTTTGAGTAGAAATGAAAAACAAAATTTGTATAAATTTTCAATTATATCCATATTAAATCAAATAAAAAAGAATGCATTTAATGATATACTGTAATTCTAAATTGTTAATGGGGATAAAATGGTTATAAAAAATGTTTATTTAATATTGGCTCATTTTCCCAAACTTTTCCATTATGAGGAAAATCAAAACCCAAGTTGGGAGGATGACTTCACTTTCTCCCTACTTTCTTCTGGGCCAGGCAACAATTTCTCATGCTTGAACTTACCAAACATAGGAAAACAATTAATTTCCCATCCCCAAGTCTCTTTTCCCATGAACCAAATGGGAATGACTATATTGAGATGTAGCCTAGGAAGATTTTGGGGATTAAAAAAAAAGCATGTATATTTAACAAGGAAAAACTTTAAATTTAAGTAGATGCATGCTTAAGATAAGCTATACTGATAATTTATTGCATTTAAAATACAAAAGAGTAGTAGAGGCTTTTACATTTCTCATTCCCATTCCCATAGCAGTTAGAACCCAAAGGCCCTGTTTGGTTCATGGAACGAATTTGAGAGAAAATCATTTTCCATGTCATTTCCCAAGGGATGAGAAATGAAAGATTTCTTTTCCACGTTTGGTAATGCTAGGAAAGTAACTGGGAGATATCACTTTATTTCCTTTTCCATGTTTGTTTTGAGTATGAATGGAAAACAAAATTTGTATAAATTTTCAATTATACACATTAAATCAAATAAAAAAAAGAATACATTTAATGATATATTGTAATTCTAAATTGTTAATGGGGACAAAATGGTCATGAAAAATGTTTATTTAATATTGGCTCATTTTCTCAAACTTTCACATGAGGAAGGAAAACAAAACTCAAGTTGGGAGGATGACTTCACTTTCCCCCATACTTTTTCATGGGTCGGACAATGATTTTCCATACTTGGACTTACCAACTATGGGAAAACAATTGATTTCCCATCCTCAAGTCTCCTTTCTTATTATCCAAACGGGCCTAAAATCCTCTTTAGAGAGGTATCTCAACGTGCTCAAGTCCAGCTTCATTCTCTCTTGCTTTCTCTGCTTATTTTATGCTCGGGATTTTCAATTTTTCAATTTTTAAACTTTAATGGAGCAGCAAATGCAGTCAAGAAAAGGAGGCAGTCGTATCTGTTACAGTGGTGCAAATGCAGTATCATAAGAGGAAAAAAAAAGACTTGTGTCTGAGTGAGTGAGTGAGTGAGAGAGAGAGAGAGAGAGAACATGAAGTCTCACAGAAGGAGAGAGGAGGAAGAAGAGACCCGAGCCATGGAGGAGAGAGAGACAGGCACTTCGTTTATTTTCAAATGGAAAACCTGGATGTGGATTTGATTGGCTTGGGTTTGGCAGTGCAAAGAAGAGGCCCTCAAGAGACAGGCGCTGACTGAAGGGTGGATTAGTCGACCAGAAAGAGTGAGTGAGAGGGGTGCGGCGCAGCTTAGGAGGAATTAAGAGAAGGTATAAGAGCATCTCCAAGGGAGATGTCAAATACCAAACGTCAAATTTAAATTTGATGACTGATGTGGCAATTTAACATCTTACACAGCTTTACACTCCACCCGATATGCCAAATTAAATTATTATTTTATTACATTTTAGTGTTATTTATAGCTTGTTAAATGTCTATATAGCACGTTTGACACATCAGTTGGAGATGCTCTAATGCCTTAGATTTATTATCGAAGTATAACATAAGGTGGTGTCTTGGTGGTTCGGTGGTAAGTTGCTGGGTATTGAAGACAGGGGTTAGGGTATCGAAACCTCAATTTTATATAATATTTAATTTGTTTTATTTTATCTTACTGAATATATATGCTCTAATAAATAATTTATTATTATTGTTTATTAGAAATGTTGCCAACCAAACAAAAGCATACCCTCCGTGGACGAAGAAATTGAAAATTACAAGGAATTCTAAAATGACTTAAAATGTGAATTAAACTTGGGATTTTGATAAAAGTCTGAATTTGTAAATTGACATGAACTAAGAAACTTTACACATTCACAAATTTTATAATATTAATTTCCGACATTTTAAACTCCGTTATTTATGTATTTTTAAATTTTCTTAACCAAACGCACTGGAGATAGAAACAAGACGAATGGTGCAGAAAAAACAAAAGTTAGGGTGTGAAAATAAAAATCCAATTTGGTTCAATTGAGGCGTGAGTTCCACGTGCCTCTTGGCGCGTACGCCTACCTTCCCCACACGAAGCCCTCCCCTCTCTGACCTGCATTTACCAAAAGCCAGAGCACAAAACCAAGAAAACCAGTGGACATGTCAACCACCATTTCCACACATAAACATAAACACAAACACCACCTACGGCATCTTTTGTCATAAGCTCTCAAACCCTTCTCTCTTAACCTCCAACCCATAATTATTAATTAATTAATTAATTAATAATTAGTTGTACTATTTATATAAATCAATTCCCAAAAAGAATTGTTCAGGTCCTCTATTGTTGTTGTCGTTGTTATTAGTTTTGTTGCTTAAGAGGTCAATTAGTCGTTGAGCTTTCTCTTTCTCTGTTTGATCGGCTGGTAGTTCCTATGTTTGACTCTAATTGAAGCAACCCTTCTCTCTTAAGCTCTGTACTCCAATGGCTTTTCTCCTATTCTCTTTGATTTCTCGCTTTCGCTTGCATTTCCAACAAAGAGGCTTGGTGGGGAAGATTCTGAGTTGAATTTCTCGAATGGGTTGTTTGAGTTTGGATATGGGGGTCGTGAAAATTTTGGGGTTTTTGTGGTCTCAGAGAAGGAAGTTGAGGTTTCTATACTGGGTTGCATTCTGGTTGTGTGTAGCTTTGGTGCTTTTTCAGCCGGTGGCGGGTCTCAGACCCTTGCGGGAAAGGGCTCGCTCGTGGGGTGATGAGGTTGGTATTAGAATTTTTGGTTCTTTTTGTTTTTGTGCTTAATTTGGTTGTATTTGGTTGTTTGTGATTGAAATGTATGATGTTTTTAGGGTAAAGACTGTGAATTTCAATGTGGAAATGTGATTTTGATCTGCTAAGTGCTGCTATGTGTGTGAATTTTGATGGGAATGATGGAGATACGATGATAATTGCAATATCAAAGGTCATGAGGTTAATGGAGGAGCTCAATAGTGGTGTTAGAAGTTCTACATACTTGCTAGAAAACGTAAAGGGTCATGTTCTGAACCTTGTTATGAAGTTGGCTCGAATGCCAGCTGATTAATAAGTCATGGTTCTGAGTTATTTAGTGGAAAATTCTGAGTTCTGCTGCCTATCATGATTCAAAGTTAGTTTAGTTGGATATAGTGAGTTTTACATAAATCTATTGTTGTCTTCTGTTTTGTGAATCCAGCTACCTCACTTAACTGCAGTTGAAACTATGTTACGTAGGTTGGTATCATATAATTTGAATGTTGTTTTAGCCACCCATTAGTACTTAAATTATATGAACAAGGAGAAATATGAAAGCGTCTCTGTTTGCTGGTAACTTCCTTGGTAGAGTTCATTTTTAGGCAGCATAAAGCTCATCTGTGCATCTTACAAACTCCATTCTATTTCTAGTGAAAATAATTTGTACACGATTTTGGTAGCCCAAAGATATCTTGTTTAGATTCGGCCTACTCTCTCTCACTCGTATTATTCTATTATTTGTATTGATTCTTAAGGTTTAAGTTTGCAATTTCATTTTTGTACATTCATTAAATCTGTAACCACAGGAAAAATAAAGGCAAGGTTCAATCACGTAAAGGCTTAGTTTGTTGTTTACTGCTAACCGATAAATTTTTTCAATTACAGCACCTGCAGACATTGACATTATATTTTTCTGAAGTAATCTCATCATGTTTGTGACCAATTTTTTTATATTATTTTTTTCATGTCATAAAATTGAGGAAACCGATTAAATTCCTCATTTGTCTGTTTGCAGTGGCTATTTGTAAGAAAGGATGAAGGTGATTTGGGTCCATTTTCTACATGGAACATAACAGGAACTTACAGAGGTTTGTCACTTTATATTTTTGTACGATCTTATTGTGGCCATTCCTTTGCTCAAAAGTTGTTGATTACTAACTCAATCATAAGATATTCTTATTACTCTGGTCATAGAATTTTGTATTATGAAGCTTATTGCTGGGGTAATTGGGTAAGAACTGGAAGTCATAGAATTTAGGGGATTGTGTAGCTTTAACCATTTTATTATGAATATACATGATTCCTGAAGGGGAATTTTCATGGACTTCGATAAACTATTTGATAACTTAAAACTTCGCTGATTCAAATGGCTTCAAACTCACTTGAGAGATAGATAGAAGCATGCATGGATAAAATGATATTAATTGATGTCAACACGTAAACAAACCCTGCCGTAGCTGGCTATTACTTTCTTTTGGCATTTGTTTAGTTAGGTTCTGCCCACCCAAGTTGTAGCCTTACTGATGAGGACATCTTTGTTAAACCCATTAGGGTTTACAAAAAAAAGAGATGGAAGAGGAAATCATTTAATTTGGTCTTCAAATCTGGCAATTTTGTATTCCTGCGATTAGTTTCTAACTTGTTCTCTAAGTTTTCCAGATTTTAGTAGGATTTTTAGTTTTTCCAGATTTCAGTAGGATTTCTAAGTTTCTTATTTTATTTGGATTAGGATTTCTTTCCTAGAATAAGTTTAATTTTCCTTTTCACTCTAGGGTTAGATTATTATAAATACACCTTCTATGTAATTCATTATGGGAGTTGAGTTGTTGAGATATAAAAGAAAAGTTTATTTTCCAGAGATTGTTGACTACTTGGTGTGAAGCCAAACCCCCGTAGGGATTCCAGACCTATCCTTGTTCGTTCTATTTTCTGTTTTTCATTGTTTTGCTTCTGCTACTCTACTTAAGCCTACAATTCACCCATGTTCTACATCAAATTTGGTATTAGAGCCAGGTTTAGTGTGAAGCCAAAACCCCTGGAATGATTCCAGACCTATCTTTATTTGTTTTATTTTTTGTTTTCCATTGTTTTCGCTTCTGCTAAACTACCTAAATTCTCAATTCACCCATATCCTACATCACTTACTGTGCTGGACAGAAAAATTTAAGGGTTTCTAATACTCAATAACTAAGATCTTATTGGTTATATGTTTGAAGATCCAGATTTAATGCCTTTGTCTATTCTTTAACCCTCAATGCAATTGCTAGCATCTAATAGGTGTACGATTTTGTAGATAATGCTTCCCATTGGTGCTTTCTTAATAAAGATTTTAAAATAACAATGTTTGGAAAAACTTCACAATTACTTATGTTATTGGTTTTCGTTTTCTTAAGAGGTTGTATATACCAATCAAAATCATGGATGTTTTGATAAAGTTTTACATAGAAGGTTGTGAGAAATTTAATATTTTCGATACTTTGGATTGCAAGTTTTTACATTAACCCCTTAGTTGTGTTCAAGTACAAGTAATTGTTGTTCCACATCCTAACAATTTGAGGCTTTGAGAACAGCGGTAAGCCAACAAACTTACCATTATATCAGAGCAGAAGATCTTGAGTTCTGATATTTGCAACTGCAACCTCCCAAATTACATTGAATTCCATGTGTCCCAGTCGTGGAGGAGGCCCCCACATGTGAGGGGGACTGTTAAGAGTTTAAAATGATTGTTCCACATACTAACAGCTTAAGCTTTTTTGGGAACAGTGATAAACAAACAAAACTTAATTAATTGAAGATGCAAGAAGATATAATATTTTCTTAGACTTACTTGGTTTCACCCCCAGTCGCAGAGAAAACATATTTGAATGAGTCCTTAGAATTGCCTGTCACATGAAGCATAGAGATATGTACTTGTCACATGCATTGGGATGAACACTTCATTCTTCAATTCGTTATGCTTGTCTGATAGGTGCTTGCATCTTATGGTTCAGTTTACATGAAGAAATGGAATTATGATTAAACATTCTGAATTTTTTGCCATTCTACAAGTAGCGCAATGTCATCAACTGACTTAAATTGTTGAATACACTATAATGCTACATTTGGATGAGAGATTTAAAAGAATGGATTTCAATTTTAATAAGTTTACATTGTTTAGGAAATATCATTCAAAATACTATCAAATGTCTTTGAAATAAATTCGAAATGATTGGATTCAATATAAAATTTTAAATAATTAACTATTACTACAGTGAATCTTTTCTGCTTGTATTCTTTCTCTTTCCTCCCACATAGGTGCACACTTTTTCTGCATTGTTAACTTTATATTCAAGCACTTTAATTTTATACATTAATGGAGCCTAAATTCAAATTTTCAATTTAAAATCCATTCATTGGCTGGGTGTTTCTATCTTGACCTGAATAGATGTGTTCTTTACATGTGAGTTGCAGGGACTTGGAAGTTTCCTGATTCTGCAAATAGCTCTTCCAGATTTCCGGATTTTAGAAAATCCGACGGCAACTCTATCATCGAATTAGTTAGCACGCAAACAAAAATAACTGGCGTACATTACGTGCAGGTGAGCAGTTTGAACCCTTAATGATGGTCATATCAAAATAACGTCTGCAAGTGGTAATAGCATGCCTTGGTCCATGAGATAAAAGGTGCTTATCGATAAAGGTCCCCGTTGTTATGAATGATATTTGCAAGACACCATGTTATCTGTTTGTTGATGAGTTTGACATCTGTACATACTGCATGCAGGTGATGGGTGGGTGAGTTTTTGTCTGATGTATGAATGAACTTAGTTCTGTATAAATGTATGTGTATGAAAATTTTAAAAGTCAGATGATTCCATGTACAATAATGGCATGAACCTAGGAGGGCCCTTCTCTTGTGGACAGGCCAATGCAGCAATGCCTCAGGATTCTTTTTTAACCTGATTAAATGTTCTCCTCATGGGACATGTTCTCCATGATTTAAGCAGTCAAATGTTTTTGTAGCATTAGAACTTGATTTAGCAAGTGTGGCTATTGATTTGTGATTCAGTCTTTATGTGGACTTTATCATTTCTTGTTGAGCTTGATGACCTGCTTTACATTGCCTTATGAGTTAATAGATATATTGAAGCCATCAAGTATTTAATTTAGATGTAGTTCCTGGGAACATGTTCAATTGTAGGATATATAATTGATAGCACTCTTCCTCTAGATGTTTATTCTTAGTATTTTTTTTTCGCATTGTTTTTTCGAGTTATTATCATAGTTTTTTAATAAATAATTTCTGTTTCTTCTGTTGGCTGACAACAGGGTGTAATTATTTTCCATGATGTGTTCGACAATGAACACAATGTTGGTGGTGTTCAAATCAAGGTGGAAGGTGTATTTATATGGCCATTTAGACAACTTCGAATGGTAGCTAACAGGTAATTTTCATGGTTTTTCTTAATCAAAGTTTGTCTCCTCTTTGTTGATTTCGTTGTTTGCACCTGGTTTGAAATTAAATTTTTCCGTTATACATATTTTCTCTTTCATTTTGCAGTGGAAAAGAGGGAGAGTCCAGTCAAGAAGAGGATTATATGTTGTCAAATCCGTATCATATGGTAGAATCTTTTGTTCTGCTCATTGTTATGCAGGCTAATAACTCTACATGATTTTCTGTCATCTTATGATGCATTGTGTCATGGTGCTAGCTTGCTGTGCTTAGTCATATCTTGTTAGTTTACATTTATGTTGAATTTTGTCATCTGGAATGCCAGAGGCAGGGGTGGAGGTACATGGTGCCCCAGGGGAGTTGTACTCAAGCTTTATTATTATTTTATTTCCTGAAAAAAAAACTAATTGATGAGTTTGGATGGTGTGTTGTTCTGTGGTTTTTCGGTTTTGTCCCTCGCTGTTAGTTTGGGAGGGTTTGGTGCTGTTTTGTTTCTCTCTGTGTTTGTTTTTGTTTCTTTGGTGGTGGTTGCCTTATCCACCGCCGTGTTCTTTTGCTTAATAAGTTTCGTTTCTTCTAAAAAAAAATTACATGTACACGCTTAGAAAAGCCCTATTCTATCAGCCTTCCCGAATCCAGTTGAGTTCCATCTTATTTTCCTAATTCTAGTGTATTTTTCTTTGAATTTTAGATCCCCCACATGGCCACACTCCTCTATTCTCTAATCTCTCCCGCTATCAATCCATTTTTATTTATTGTTAGTGCACTAGATTTAACTAGAGGTTATTTTGATCTGCTGTCCTTAATTAATATATTCATAATATAAAATGTTTCACTAGATTCATTAAATGGTAATTCATATACTAATTGCCAAAAGAGATATTGTAAAACAAAGAAGCAGTGAATGTTTCACCTGGGTTTGGTTTCATGTTCCAAGACTGCTACCATTAATTACACTACTTTAGATTTCGGTATGATATACATGATACTTCTAGTGATGAGGGTTTTGAGTTCTCACATGCTACATACATAATTTCTTTGAACAGCTTGGAGTTTTCTCTTCCCAGGTTTTCCAAGAATCTCCTCGAGATAAGATATGGAGGAAAAAGCATTGTAATTTCTCCTACTCTGCTATGAACTCACCTTCATATTGCTTTTATGATGTTATATTAATTTCATTTGCTCTTACTGCAGCTCCAATTTATGAAATGGAGAAACATTGTAATATAGAAATTGCGGGCCAAATTTCACGCGTCTCATCCCCCCATAATGGTATTTGAGTTTTCTCAGCGTATGGATTCTTTCTTTCCTTTATGCGCTTCCTTACCATCCTTTTCTGAGAACTTTAAAAAATACAGTATCTGTAAAACGTGCTTACACACTTCTTGGCAACTTGATAAGAAATAATTTAGTTTTGGATAATTGAGAAGCTACTTTGCATAAAATTGCATGTCTTATGGAATTTCCCCTCTCCCCCGCCCCCTATATCTAAACACATCTCAAGTGAAAGGCTAGATCTGATCCATCCCAATGATGACATGTTTACTTACTTGGAATGGGGGAATCATGAGTCGGGGAATTCAAGAATAGGGGAGAGAAGGAATGGGTATGGGATCAACTACCCTAATCAATCTATTTCCTGGTTTTTCAGGTATTGGATTATGGATTTTAATGTGGAGCCCACATAATTTTTATTCCTCATGTGTTAGTAAGCGCATGGGATACCAATAATTGGAATAATTTACCCATGTGTTAAACACAGGGGTAGCCAATACCCATTCCGAGTAAGTAAACATGCTAAAAATATAATCCAATCCTTCTAGTCTAATCCGATCCTATCCCGCTTGCCAAATGGAGAGTATGTAATTAACTATGATCGTCATGTATGTCCATCTTCTGATTCTTATCTTGTTTTGAAAATTCCATACTTATTACTAATTGGCTACATATCTTCCATTAGATGGTGATCGTGATCGTTACCACATAGAAGCATTGATGGAGAGTCCTGCAGTGGATGATGATGGAGATTGCTTCTCACCCTTGGTACTAAATGCTACTTCTGTCAATGTTGAGGTGTACTACAACAAAGCAGTGAACTATACCTTGATGGTCACCTTTGTATCCTTTATTCATCAGTCTTTCAGGTTGATTTCAATGTTATATGCCATTTTTGTGTAGGAGTATTCCTTAACGTATTTCCTCAGGTCTCCTTTCTCCAAGTTCTTCTCTTAATTCGCCAAATGGAACATAGCAACACTCAGTCGGTAAGAATTTTTGTCTAAACATACTTTCAGAAAGAAAAAATATGGATTTTAGTAATACATGCTGTCATTAGTATTATAAGTGCAGTATTTATCAGTTCGGTTTTCTTACTTGACAGAAGTAATCACAGTGGCCTTTTGCAGGGGGCTGCCAAAGTTTCAATTCTAATGATTGGCCAACAGGCTATCATGGATGCTTATCTTTGCCTTCTACATTTGACCGCAGGAATACTTGTTGGTAAGTTTAGTGATTTATCATTACCAGCTTGTTTGTAAATGTTTCCAATCTTAGAAGTTATAGTATAGTTGTAAGACATAATACTACCTGGCTCTGTGTATTCACTTCTCAACGAGTCTTGGGGCTATTCAATTTCAACCTTTCATCTTCTTCCTTGGATCTTACTGATCTGACTCACACCAAACCCACACCACTCCTCAACCAGATTGGTAACCATCTTCCTATTCCTGCCACACTTCATCAACTTCATCATCTTATCCAACTGGGTCCTGAACACATTCTGTTTGGAGTTGTGCGATCTGGATCAGGTGTCATAAGGGTATGGGCAAACCAGGTAACTCTGGTACGACAGTTGCAATGAAGCTGTTGCAATTATACTTACTACAAAAGGTGAAGTTGTTGTAATCATCTAAGGTACTCAGTTGCCATTCGGATCAACAGATAGCTAAGAAGTAGCGTTTTGGATACTTTGAAGGGTTAATTCACTCATTTATAGTAGCGTTTTGGAAACTAGATTTCTGAAGAGCATAAATACCTGGTGTGCACTTTAAAATTGCACTGCAAAGTGCAAAATTTCACGTAAATAAATTTTTCTCAAGACCCCAAGGGAGAGTACATGACAGAGTCAGGAATTAGAAGATTTTTGCATATCCTTCTGATGCTATTAACCGTTCTGTATTTTTTTCTAGTGTTATTATTCAGGATGGTGGGGTAGGATATTTAATGCTTTGTGCAAATTAACATGTCTGATATTGCAAATAGTGTGAAGAGCACTTTCATCGTATATTTCAGTACATTTCAAAAGTTGTGGTACCACTTGACACCATGCTCACAGCAAAGAGAGTGAACAGAACCCTTCTGACAGTATCCCTTTCTGTAGGCCATCTGTACAAAAAGTAGAATAATGATTGAATCCGTTCAATTATGCATGCAAACTGAAAGTATACTTTGGGTTATATCTTTCTGTGTCTCCCCCTTCTGTACAAAAAGAGAGTGAGTTCTTCTGAAAATTGTATCCGTCTCTCTCTCACCCTCCCTCCCTCCCTGTGTGTGCACATGTTTGTGGATGTTGACAGTCGTTTTGACGTATGCATGGCAGAAATACAATTATTAATTATTTTTCCATGCCAAGTCATACGTATAATATTTGTGTCAACTGCGAATACATACGTTGGTGTATTATTAATTTGTTACTGCCTGATACATGTGTTTTATTTCTTAGGTTTATAAACTACATCTCTTATTTTAGCAGCTGTCTCTTAATATGCTTAATGTTATTGTGCTCACATTGTTTATGGTCATCTCATGTATTCATGACACTTGAAATTTCACCTATTGGATGGTCTTTTTGAAACCTTAATTTCCTGTTTCTCCCTATTAACTGTGCCTTTTTGCCTTATTTCTTGTTCATACAGAATCCTTATTTAATGCTTTTGCGACTGCCGCTTTTTTCAAGTTTGTTGTCTTCTCAATATTTGAGATGAGATATCTTCTTGCTATATGGAAAGCTAGTAGGCCGACAAATAGTGGAGAAGGTTGGGAGACAATGAGGCGTGAGCTTTCAGTTTTATATAGCCGTTTCTGTAAGTGCTATTCTGGAATGTATGCTTTGTTTTCATCTGGAATGCCACTTCATCGTCTTATGCTTTAACTTTTGAGTTAATAGCATTTATTGGGAATGATGCACATATACAGATGGGTTTTACATATCCATTAATATCCAATTTTTGAAGTAAATCTCTCTATATTCTCTAGGAAGAAGTATGTAGCTTAAAACAAAAGTTCGAAAGAAAAAAATGTCACACGACTCTCAGATCACTTAAAATCAGTTTTTTCTTTTAGCTGAATAATGTTAGGGTTTAGGGTTATTTACACCCTTATTAACTGATTTTCTAAGGCCGTTTGATAAGTTGTTTGGTAACTTTTACCCAGTATAATAAGGTTGAAATTTTCCATCCAAAAGAGACTGGAAGATAATTGGGTGAGGGTTTTCATAAAATCTCTTGTTATTTCAAGAAATATGTAATGGTTCATAAACTTGACTAATTTAATGGCAAGAAACAATGATCAACCTAGGCTATGAGTGGGGTGACTTTGGAGATGTGCAAACAGTCCCTCAAGCCCCGTGCATCTTGAAGATGTTCTTTACGAACTGATCATAATTTCTTTCAATGTATCAATGCAGTTCTCGGAGATACTGATGTAGTTAGAACAAATACTATCTAACTTGATATACCCAATGATGTTGTTATCTCCAATGTATCAATGCAGTTCTTTGAGATACTGATGTAGTTAGAACAAATACTATCTAAATTGATATACCTAATGATGTGGTTATCATCCTTAATCTTGGGTATCGTGATGGAGAAAAATAGATCGTAGATGGAATTGATATCCACTATGCTTGATGTGTGCTCGCTGATTTCCATTTTAGGTTTAAACTGTTGACTGAAATAATCATATTATATGATTCATTGTTTCAAACTTCAGGCTTTGTCTAACTGTATAACTATTTTGCAGATGGGATCCTTTTGGGAGGCATTCTGTTCATGTATGAGTTCCATAACTTCCTAAGACCTATTCTTCTCCTTATGTACTCATTTTGGATACCACAAATAATTACCAATGTTATTCGTGATTCGAGGAAACCATTGCATCCTCATTACATCTTAGGCATGACTGTTACTCGGCTTGCAATCCCGTTATACATATTTGGTTGCCCTAACAACTTCATGCGTATTGAGCCTGACAAGAGTTGGTGTATTTGTTTGGGTGTATTTATTGGACTGCAAGCATCAATTCTTCTTCTTCAGCACTATCTTGGCTCTCGGTGGTTCATTCCTCGTCAGGTTTGATGCAACTCTGGTCATTTATGTTTTCGTGGAAATTCATTCTTGTTCACATCCTTTTTTATGTCATAATGACACTCACAAGCTAATTGCTGAATTGATAAGGAATGTTAATTATATGGTTAACATGTTGTGGAACTTCCACAAGCTAGGAGCAGATTTATTCTTTTGGACTATAATGCAAATTTCTTCTTGCAGTTGCATGGTTGTCAACTTGTTATCACATACGAATATTAACATATGATTACAAAAAGAATTGTCACCAAATTATTTTAGAATTTTCATCTTGAAGATCTGTAGACTATCCTTTATTAACATACAAATTTTGTATTAAGTTTTGAATTTCTTTTGTATTTTGAAAATAATATACTTTATGTCAGCTTGTAGCACCTTGGCATTATTTCTATATCAGTGCATGTGGTTATAGAGGTGTACATGTATGATTCTCTGCTGCTCTTTCCAAAGATACTTGAAGTTTGCAAGGGCTGTTTGAATATATATATATATATATATATATATATATATATTTTAAACTTAAATTGTCTTTCGTTAAGGTGCAATTATTGCAACAAGGTTTCCTTGTGGAAGTGTAATTGGTATTTTACCTTGACAAAGTCACTTGTACATATCATTTCTGTTTGATGGTTTGCAGATTCTACCTGAAAAATATAGCTACTTTAGAAGGTACGATCAGGATACACATCACACCACAGACTGTGTCATTTGCATGACTGCAGTTGATCTCACACAGCGTTCAAATGATTGCATGGTACAGTGTTGGGATATTTTATATGGTAGCAAGTTGCTAGACATACGTACTTGATCTAATATCCTATTTCACTTGCAGGTGACACCATGCGACCATTTCTTTCATTCAGGTTGTTTACAAAGGTGGATGGATATAAAGATGGAGTGCCCAACTTGTCGGCGTCCACTGCCACCAGCCTGATCCATTCACTCTGTCTATATCATGTATAGGATCAACTGACATCGCCCAACTCACTAATCTTGGTAAATTCACTTGATAGCATGCAAGCACTTTAGTATAAATATGAGTTTTTAGGGGTTGACGCTCCTGCGATTTTCGTAATTTATATGAGGCTAATTCTTTACATACCAATTGTTGCTTGGATTTTCCCATGTGATTTGAAGATAACTAGTAACGTGAATTTTTAATGATTCAACTACCATAAGATGCCCTTTTCGTCTTAAATATTCTTTTTGTTGAATGATTTTTTAGTTCCACACATCTCCTTCCCAAAATCATGTTCAACGTGTATTCATACTTTCTGCAAATTTATTCACTGGGTTTTTTTGGCTTTTCATGAACTATTCCCACCAGTTTCCAAATGATTAGATGTAATATTTCATAATTCTGAATCTGCCATTCTGTATTCCATTTCAGGTTGGGTATTGAATCCATAATCAGCTTGAGTGCACCTTCAGAAGAAGGGTGAGACAAATCAAATTCCAAACTGTAACTGATTCTGCAACGGCCAACTCTAGCCAATAATTTTTTTTGCACTGTTGTATAATGTATATCCTAGTAAGCAATTCCATAGGTGCAAATCCTTATTAATCCCATCGGTAGTTGGTTCCCTCTGCACGTTTTCATTTTTATAAGTAGGTTGAAAGATGAGTAATTGTCTTCAATCATGGTTAAAAAGGAAACAAGAAAAAATGGCATCGGCTCAGACATTATATGTTTTCTGCATCTTCACATTCATAAGCGATTATGCAATTTTACGCATTATTGTATCTCATGGAACTCAGTCCTGAATGTAGAGGTAGAAGGCGACAAGGATGTTGATGAACTTACGCATGCTTGTTATAAAATCCTGGTAAGCCCTAAGATACAAGGTATATGAACCTACAAATGCCGAGGCAATGCTTGTTATAGAATTCTGATTAGCCCCTAACTCGATTGAATTTTAGTTCAGCTTGGAGTAAGATTGAGCTAGAGCCAAATTGTGATGAATTGAGTTCTTTCTCATTGACAGTTTCCTTTCCTCTGGTTAAATCTTGTTTGTTACCTTGACTATAAAAAAAACCCTTAACTTGATAGTTGATTCGGCACGAACAGCCCTGCACAAGATTCTCTCCTCCAGACGTCGCTTGCACTAATTTATGACAAGCTGAATTTAGTTCATAATGTGGCTTGTTCACAGAGCTTGAGATTTAGTCGTTCGGGCTTGTAAACAACCTGTCTTGTTGAATTCAAGAAGCCAAGCATTATTTGCTTATTTGCTTGTCAAGGCTACGGAATAGGCAAATCATTCTTTTTCTAAAAACGAAATTGGTGTTTGGCAGAATGGTTTTTAAAAGGTAAAAGTTTACTTTTGGTCCTAGTTTGTCGGTTTTACTACTTTGGTTCTTGTATTTTCAATCTTGTCAATTATATCCTTGTAGTTTTAATTTGGAACAATTTATGGACACGTTTCAATTTTTGTTAAATTCCTTCAAATTTTGTTAAACTTTAAACACATGCCCTTCACCCCTCACGTGTAGGGGTATTTCAGTTCACTTGAGCCCATCTAACTATCAAATACGAGCTGAAGTTCTTTTGATTCACTTCAGGCATGATTTTTGGGTTTTGGGTTTCGGAAAAATTTACATCTCCTATTCAAAATTTGGGTAAACTAGGAGGAATTTGGCTCAAGTGGACCAAAATACCCCTCTACGTGAAGGGCATGTGGTCAAAACTTAATGGAATTGGAAAAAAAATCTTACCAAAATTGAAACATGAACTTAAATTGCTAAATACAAGGATAAAATTGAAAAAATGGAAAAACTACAAGGATAAAAATTGACAATTAAAACTATGGTAAAATCGGCAAACTACACGGACCAAAAATGACGTTTTGCCTTTTAAAATGGGATTTGAAAATAACTTAGAACCATTTCGTCTTAGAAAACACAAAAATAGATTTCAACGTTTTCAAAATTGGAGAAAATGTCTTCAATAGTGAAATGTTTGTGATGGCCGATGACCCACAATAACTCGACATCAAGCAGTACAAAAAATTAAGGGCTCGTTTGGTATTCTAAGTAGGGAATTCAAAAACTTTGATTATTTTAAAAAACAAAGAGTTCTCAAATATATTTTTTAAGATTCAAAAACTTGTTTGGTATGCAACTTAAGAACAGTTTTTTTAATTTTTAAAAATTTGGAAACTTGTTTGGTTGAATTCCTGAAAACAACTTTTTTTTATTCATTTTTTATAGCTAAGGTATTGATAAACATTATTATTTTTATACAGTTGATAAACATTATTGAAATTATTGAAATTGTGTAAAATTCCATTAGGGGGCCCAATAATGTCATTCAGACACCGTCATATATGTATATAACCAAATTGCAAAATTGGAATGAGAATACATCTTCACAAGTCTCTAACTAAAATAGCAGATAAAGAATTCTATGATATAGCTGAGCGTGAGATACAAAATTGCTACCACACACATGTTATCCACCAAACCACCAACTCATTATCCACCACTATCTTAGCTTTATGTTGTTAATCTTTGTATTAGTTGTATCCACCATGCACTGGCGGATCCAGAAATTTTTTAGCAGAGGTGCAATATTGACTAAATATGAAAATGGTTTTTCAGAATAATCATTTTCTCAAGATAATTTTTGGCGGCTTTTATTCCTTATACATCAAATAAGAAAACTTGATTTTATGGGATTTTAGTATGAAGTATATATTGACTTAATGAGCCATCATTTTTAGCCTAAATCGTATTTTGCACTAAAACCGAATTTTCATATTTTGATTTGGTGGGAATTTGACTTTCTAGTATTTTTATTTGAATCCAAATGGGGGGTACTTCCTTATTTACATTGTAAACTTAAGTAAATGGAGTAATATAAAAATAAATAAAAGTAAAAAGACAAAGACATTTACTTAAGTGTTGAAAATGGAAATAAGGTAATCTGTACACCAGTTGAGCAAATGGGCAATTTGAAGCACCTACAATGGTTTTTCAGGCGAAGGAAGGTGCAACTGCACCTCCTTGCGCCTTAATAGATCCGCCCCTGCCACCATGTACCACTTTGTATTATCTCTTAGTTTATTATTATCAATCTTGTATAAATACCTCCTATATGAAGATGAATCAATCAAGCAAAATATCATTCAATCATCAAATCTTTCAAAGGTATGCACTATCATATTTCCTTCTTAGACTCTGTCTACCAAGCCTTCATAGAACCCAATTTAGGCAAGCTCATGACAACTCCATTCAAAGCTTGATTTTTCATAACAGTAGAACAACTTTCAATAGCCTTCAATGGAAAAAAAATTGCAGAGAAGCATCAAATGAACAATTCAACATAAGCTGGATCTCAGAAATTACAAGTAACCCATATGAATAGCATCACTGAGCAAATATCATTCAGACTTTAATACTAGTACTTCAAATGAGATTAAAAAAAAAAAAAAAAAAAAAAAAAAAAAAAAACAAAAACAAAAAAAACTGACTGAAAAACAAAAACAAAAGAATTCTATAACCAGAATAGGAAACAGAGTGGACCCATCATGTCAAAATCTAAAAGCATTTCATCACTTTCTATGAAGAAAATAATCAATCAGGTTACACACAAGAATTCATATAAATAAAATCGAATTAGATATAAATAAGCTATAAATCAAACATAAATGAAAAATAAAGTCCAATCTTCAGTGACAGGACACAACTCAAATTCCACTTTGGAATCTGAGCTGAACCCTGTGCGTGTTTGACACCTGGCAAACGTTGGGCACTCTTGACCAAAATGCCCTTCTAAGTTTCCTAAATTCTTTTCTTCAAGTCTTACTTCTGCTGAAAATTCGACAGTCTCCCTTGTAATTCGCTCGTTTCCCAAAAAATTTACCTGTATAAAACATGATTTTATAATCCCAAACGTTCAGCATGCACAAAGATAGAGTTCATGCAACCAAATATCACATCATTTTGGCCTCAGGCCTCATTAACTCAAATAAATCGTTCTACTAACTGAATTTGATCCCAATTTTTCAAACAACATCAATACAACAATAGGTTTCCAAAATGACTTAATTGAATAACTTTTCAATCACTTGAACTCGCGGTTGCACCTAATAACTCTAGGTTCCCTACGTACCCTTAACAAGGGATCAAGCCACACGTAGTTATTTCTTTCAATGTGATTGGAAAACAATTCTAGTTCTCATGTCAGTGATATGCTCACCATTATTCGCAAACTCTAAAGTATATACCTTTCAACTTTCCCAATTCTCATAACAGTTCATACTCAGAACATAAGTAGGCTACTCACTGAACTTCCTTTAATTCATAAATCAATTGTGTATTACTTGCTCAGATTAATATATATAATAATAATAAAAATAAAAATAAAAATAAAGATGAAAATAAAACTAAAAATAAAACAAACAACTGCCGAAGACACTTTTAACCTTTCCTTCGAAACTCACATAAAACCCAATTATAAATACATACATATATATATTTAAAGATTTATAATTAATTTATTACAAATAAGTAGGAAAACAAGAAAATTATTAAAATAACTTTGACCATATGAAATCTTAATGTCAATAACAACAGTTTAACTGAAACATATATTTTCCTCTTTTACGTATAAAACAAACTCATCACTTAAGAAATTAATTGTGAACTATATAAAATCCTTAAAACTTAGAAAACTCTCCACCTGGACGTACCCCCATCCATATTCCGTCAATTCCTTTAATATTCCGTCAATTCCGATAACATTCCGTCAATTCCAATAATATTCCGTCAATTCCATCCTCACAGGCCTCGAAAACACCAAGTTAACTGAGCCGTATTCCTCACAGGCCTCGGAGACACCAAGTCAACCAAAGCTGCAATCCTCGCACCACACGATTTATGCGTCCCCGAAACTCGTGGGGCATTATCAGAAATAACCAAACTGTTTCAAGG